CCATCTAGGGTAGGAGGAGGGGAGCCGCTTTGATCCCGGTGCCACTGCAGAGAAAACCCACTGCAGCAGGGTCAGATCCTGGCACAGGGAAAGGCTCCCCCTTTCTGCTCTAGTGTGGATTTTGCTTCTTTTTCTTTTTTCTTTTTTTTCTTTTCCTGAATTAGCTACAACAGTAGGTATCTTGAGACCTGAGATTGAAAAGCCCAAAAGTGAAGGGAAAATGCTTCCACAGACCATGTGCAAACTGAACACCACTGTTTGTTGGTTTTTTTTTTTTTTGTTTGGTTGGTTGGTTTTGGGTGTTTGGTTTTTTTTGTTTTGTTCTGTTTTGCCTTACGGAGGGTTTTGACATGGTGGTGTTTTGTTCTGTGTCAGAAGGAAAACAAACCCTGAAATACCAAAGTCTTTCACACAATGGACTTTCCTTTCTCCAAACATCCCTGTGAGCTGGGCCTCTTGCAGCTCTCAACTCTTCCCAGAGCAGGAGAACAAATACTAGGAAATCTGGAGGGATGACCTGCACAGAGCTGGCTGCACAAGCCCCGTGTTATTCAGTGTCTCCAGTGCTGGCTGCTCCTCCCCTGAAGGAGGCAGGTGAACCTCCAGCAAATGCTGCTGGTTCCTGTGCTACCATTTTCTGCTGTGCACCTCAGTCTCCCTTTTGTGTCCCTGTGAGATGTGACAGGGGACAATTTCAGCTCCTCATCTCTTATTCTCCGACTTCTGCTCTTCTTGTGTGTTATGTCACCTCTGTGTGCAGTTCCAGACTTCTTTGGGCACTCTACCATAGTCCCAAAAATCTGTTTGGGAAATTCTCCCTTTCATGGCAAATGCTGATTTTGGGTCCTCTCTAGACTTGTGGTGCTATGGAGGCACCAGAGAGCGTCTTGTGGAGATGAGAGAGGTGACCAGCAGGGACAGAAGGGACTATCAGAGAGCTCCAGGGGAACCCTCAGACCCAGTACCCTCCCCTGGGCAAGGGGATGGAGGGTCCCACAAAAGGCAAAGGTGATGTGTTGACAGGAAGGGGCTGGTTGCTGCCTCATAAAAATAAGGAGGGAGAAGTGATGGTGTGGGATCCTTGGGAAAATGAGACTTGTTTAATGGTTGAGGATTTTATTCTCTTTCTTCCCTCTCTCTTCATCTGCCTTGCCTTTCATAAAATTGTGCTTTGATAAGATTTTCTGTTTTATCATTTAGTGTGGAGATTTAGTTTTATTTTCCCTGGATTTGGAAAGGAAGGAAAAGGGGGCTTCAGGCAGCATTTAGCAACAGCCCTGGACACCAAATCAGGGCTAGACAAGACTCAGAGAAGGGGTTGCTTCCACCTTGGCTGATCCAGAAGGCTTCTGCACTGTGAATGACATGAAATAAGGATCTTGGCTTTCATTAGATCTTTCATCTGCCTGGAATGCTTTAAGGATCAGAATTCATCATTAGCAATAATTATATATATTTAGACTTGATATAAGTTCAGTTCAACTGCAGTGAACTCATTTGCTTCTGTTACGTTCCTTCAGTCTGGGGGGAATACACTGACATTGCTTAGCAACCTTTAATCATTTTGGTGGAGCACAATAGTCTGGGAAGGCTGAAGTTTATGTGTGTTACCCTGCCCCAGGTAGTTACTTGATCTCCCAAATAATAAGTTTCTAACCTTGTCATTTGTTTCTAATCACCATTATCTTCTGAACTGGAATTGAGCATCCTGAAATCATAGAATATCTAAAGTTGGAAGGGACCCATAGGGATCACAGAATGGTTTGGGTTGGAAGGGACCTTAAAGATCATCCAGTTCCAATCTCTCTGCCATGGGCGGGGACACCTTCCACTAGACCAGTTTGCTCCAAGCCCCATCCAACATGTCCTTGAGCACTTCCAGGGATGGGGCATCCACAGCTTCCCTGGGCGACCTGTGCTGGGGTTTCACCACCCTCCCAGTGAAAAATAATAATAAAGAGCATCAAGTCCTGCTTTTCGCAGGACTGCTACAAATGTGTATTGCTTGACTTGAACGTTGGGTTATCTCTCCCTCTGCAGCGTGGCAGTGCCCCAGGATATCTCAGGCAGATCCCAGAATATAAGGCAGCAATATCTCCATCTGACCCAGGCAGGCAGCTGCTGGTTTGACTCGGAGCAGCACAGCAGTGGGATGTGCTGTGCCTGCCAAAGCAGATACTGTAGGTCCTTTATTTCCTAATTGTCACTTTTTCTATGACTGCCTCAAACAGAACCAAGGAGCACGGAAAGAACAGTGCTTCCCCTGTCAGGGATGGAGTGGAAAAGACGGAAAAAAAGGCAGAAGGAAGAATGTGGTGAAAGGCACCACAACATCCAGGGGCCTGACTCTGATTTGCTTGAAGCAGTGTAAACAAGCAGGCTACAAAACCTAAGAGCTCTGACTGACACTGAAAAAACAAGGAAAACTTGTTTTAGACCAATTACACTGGAGAATATATGTGAGATTTTCAAGACACTGAAAAACATCATCATCAAACAGAGCAGTAATTTGAGTTTTAGGGCCAGATCTAAATGCCAGGGCTGCAAGAACCAGAAATTTAACCTGAAATAAAGTGACTGTTTTATTGTTTCTAAAGATTTTGCATTGTTTGAAAGATTTTCTACCATAAGATCTCTCAGCTGCTCTTCTCAGCTCCCTACTGGGGCACCCTGCAGCTCATCCAGGCTCATCTCCCCCAAGCCCTCCACCCATCTTTCTGCTCCCTGTACTCCAAATCTCTAGATAACTCTGTCGTTCCATGCAAACTGGGTGGGGTTTGCCCTTTTCTGCTGGATACTCACCTGACCTTTCCTGACCTACTGCCATATTTCCTCACTCCTTGTAACCACCAGCCATGATAAAGTTCTCTTCTCATATTCAGGGCAGGACTGCTGCTCCCTTCCTATGAAACTCCCTGGAAGAGCATCCCACACACTTGGACTCCTGAGCGACTCAACTCACCTACACAAAGAAAAATGAGGTAGAGTTGGTAAGTCTGAGTGAGGGGCCCAGGTCAGCCCCTGTGGAAAAATAGGACAGTGGAGAAACAGGAAAGAACTCACATGGAGATCTTGTTCCTTGATGTTCTCCAAGTTCCCATTGGGAGCAGGCAGAGCTATCTGGCTTGCATGGGTTCAGCTGTCTGTCCCTCTTGGCCACCTCTCCACTGGTCTCTGGTGAGACTAGAAACAAGAGGCTGCTGCTCCACCTCTACCCATGTCCTCCAGGGTAGACCTAGAGACTTGGGGGAATATAAAGCCATGATCTGTGTGAAGGCCAAGGGCACTGGGTGTCATGCTGGCACCAGTGGGATGTCCTGTCCCTGCCACAGAGAGGTCTCTGGAGCCTGATGTTAGGCTAGATGTATTGTTCCAGAGGATAGCCAGGGATTCCCTGGAACACCACTTTATTCAGGGCCATCTGGTATCTCACAGTCCCATGACCAAGAGGATTGTCATGCCTCATGATTCATCCTTCCTGGTTCCCATGGAGCAGGGAGAGAGCCACAGAAGCCCTTGGTGGTTTTGGTTCTCCTCAGCTGTGGTTCATTGCTCCGGCCCATCCTGCTCTTATATCCTTCAGGGAAGAACAGAAGTGATTCCAGTACAGCAGCAACAATCAATATAATGATTTGTGTTCATTTACACTAACCAAGCACCCCCTTCAGCTGTCCTACACTTCCCAGGAGAGTAGATACCTGGGAGAGGAGAAGGCACACCTGGGAAATGATCAGTGGTGCTACCACTCCAGAAAGGGGTGTAGGAAGTTTCAGGCTGCAATAACACGGTGATTTCATCCACTTCAGCAGGCCTTTTGCCAGGTGTATCCTGTCCAGCCTGTACTGAACTGACTGGGGATGAGGAGAGGCAGTGGCAGCCAACTCCAAATGGCCAAGACCAGCCTCGTGTCAGTGCTCAGTAGCTGAGTCATGTTTTGGTCTTCTGCCCCACCCAGTCTAGAGCGAGTTCAGCACAACCCTTTGAGCTTCACTTTCCTGCTCTCAACACTCTCACTCCTTCAGAGATCTTCCCACATTCATGGCTCAACCCATCCACCACCAGTTCTCTCTCTTCTCCTGGACTGGACACCACACAGGACAGGAGCCAGGAGCTTGCTGGCTTTGATTCATCATCCTCTAGAAAAAAAGCTGGCTGATCCTGCTGGCCATGCTTCCTCTTGCACCATCTGCTGTTCCTGACAGCCAGCCCCAGCACAAAGGCTTGGTGTTCATCTGCACCACCCTGCCTTGAGGGGAAAGGCCACTTCTGGGGGTCACTGTTCCTACATGGCACTGCTGGAGGTGGCATCTGGAAAGTGGAGCTGTGGAAATGGTGCTGTGTTATGCCCTGGCAATGCAGTGACATCCTGCCTCACTGTTTTTAGCGAGGCTTTTGCTAAGGTAGTGACCCAGGAGCATCAGCATATCCTCAAAGCAGGTGCCTTCCACAAACCTCTCCACCAGGCACGAGCACTCCCGTGTCCTGGTGTGCCTGGGAATGGGGCTGTGCTGGCTGGTGGGATGGACAGGCAGCCAGTCACCATGGATACTGCAATGTGTGCTCTGGATTTGTCAAAGAAACCATGGCCATGGGATTATGGGAACACATTTATATCCCACCAGCTTTGTCCCATCAGGCAACGCTCAAGTTTGGTGTGTGTTAACAATCAAAACCTGATGGCTTCCCACGGGTCCCAGGCTCCTGAATGATGTAAGCATTTGTTGTCCCTGTCCTTAAATAACTACAGAGCAGAGCCAAATGGGTTTTCTCTCCAACAGATGGGCTGCTGACAGGTGCTGCTGGAGGCTGAGAGATGGAAAATCAAGGATGCCCTGACATGGTCTGTCACTAGCTTGAAGAGAAAAAAGCAGGTGAGACTTGGTTTCCTTATTCTGGCACATTATTTAGATGCTCTAGAAGTATAATAACATAATATTATTGTGTTAGGAAAATATTATTACCTTGTCTCAAAGGCAGGAGAGTGGGATGTGTCTTAAAGATGGAAGACTGGGGTATGTCCTTTGGGACAAGGATGGTCTGCTTCCATAACACAGGTCCCAGAAGAAGCAGGATTGTATTAGAATGGTAAAATAACAGAAAACAAAAGCTTTTCTTTCTCCCTAAATAAATAATTTCTATGCTTCCTTTGTGGTTCTCTTTTAAAGACTTGATGAATTCAAGGAGGATGTGGTCACATTCGTTGGAAATTCCAGATGCTACAATATAGAAACACAAATCTGCATTAAACTCACATTTTTTATGAGTTAAATGTCATGTGTTTTTCACAGGCTGCTGTGGTTTTCATATCCCTTAGAGAGCATTTGCCCAGTACCTCTGATATCTCCTCCTTGATTTCTTTGACAGGATCCAGTCTTTTGTTATTTACTGATGTCACTGCAGCCTGGGAGAGAAATCAACACGGTCATGAATTATGGCCCATGCTGGTAGGACATTTCATTCTGTTTGATTTAGTGGGAAAAAACCTCAGATAACTAAAGATGAGTTCAAGCTATGACACTTTTCTTCTTGCTTCTGAGTTGCCCTGAGTAGTGAGGAGTGTCTGGGTTGAGTACTTTCACGTGGGTCATTGGGAAGGTGAGACCCTTCAGCAAACGTGGGTCTGTGTGTAGGGCTCAGTTTTGAAGAAGCCTGATATTACAGCAGTGCAGCTCTATCTCCACTCAGGAAACTCACCAGACTTTGAAAAAAAAACAACCCTCAGAATCACTAGGATGAAAGAATCACATGTTGTTGTGTGGGTGTTTTTAAGCTTCAGCCATGGGATCCTCCAGCTCTTCCTTCACCTGCAGGTCTTTTCCATCCCACCTAACACCTTCTGCTGCTGAGCACCTGAGGGATAAGGAAAGCAGCATCCTGGCCTGTGGGCGTGTGTTTCTGCAATGGGAGAGGCATGAGGGCACAGACTGGCAGGACATAACACGTACCTTCTCTGCAGAGGTTACCAGCAGCATCCTCACTCATTTTGTGTGAAGAAAAGGAACTCCAACATTACATAAAAAAAAAAAAGGAGGGTGGGTGGGAGGAGGACAGAATCTTGCTTTCTCCTTGAACAACAAAACTCTTGAACTCTTGACTCCAGGCAAAAGCAAACTGAAGTCACTGAATTTTGAAGTCACTCTGGAAGATGATGTGCAGTGCTGTGGTCCCACAGCGAGGGGAGGGTGTCCCTAAGCACACAGCCACACCAGGGCACAGCTAGGGCAATTCCCTGGGCTTTTCCATATGAATGCTCATTTTATGACAAATAACCACCATTTTAATAATAAATTACTGCCCTCTGGAAGTCCCACAGTAATGCCATTGTCATCTGTGGGCACTCTTTCACAAGGGCTACATTTAGGTCTATCCATGTGCACAAAGTACCACAATTTGGGAAGTCTGGGTGATCTTTGGCAAGACCCTATTCATAGACCCAAATTTCAGCATCACAAACACTCCTTAAGTAGTCAAGGCATAGGTGAATGCACTCTTGCCTCCCCAACAGCTCTTACTGTTGGTTATAAATCTGAGAAAATTAGGCCAATATGTGGCCATTGGATCTGGAGGATGCCTCAGCTTGGAATTTGGAGGTTTAGCTCATGATTTTTAACTCCTTGACATCACAGGGGCAAACATTTGTTTTGCAGAGTTTCTTTGCTGAATTAGGTTGGGTCCATCTAGGGAGCAATGGGTTTGTATCACCTCAGGAGAGCCCCTGGGGGAAGCAAGACAGTGAAGGTGGGCACTCATCCAGCTGTTGTAAAGGAACTGATTTTTGGTTGACAGGCTTTCTTCTTGACGGGTGGGACATGGAAGGCATCAGAAGCTAAAAACACAGAAGGAACAAAGTGAAAATTTAAGGAAAAAATGCAGCATCTGGCAAAATATTTTCTCTTTATATCCTTCCATGGGGTGATGGTTATTCATCACCTGAATTGCCCTGGTGGTTGTGACTCCTCTCAGGATGTAAATCACAGAGTCACAGGATGGTTTGGGCTGGAAGGGACCATAAAGAACATCCAGTTCCAACTCCCTCATATATGAGAAGCACAGCTGTACTGCACATGTGATGGCCTGGAAAGACAACTCAGTCCCTGGGGAAATGCCCAGTGACTTGTAGGAAAGCCACTCGTGGTGGAGAGGAGCGCTTTGGATCCCAGCTTCATGTTTTACAGGCAGTCATAAAAAAATCAAACAGTCATTTAGCAGATGTAGTAAGGGTTTTTTAAACCAGAATTCTAACATGTCATGGCCAGTACTAATCTCTGCTCTCACGGTCAGAGGTCCCCTCTGATGCAGGGGGGGACTCTCCTATCCTGGGCTCATGCAGTGTGACCTGGAAATCCCTGTGGTCTTGGAATTCCCCTGGCTCCAGGCCCATGCATGGGGGTGAAAGCACTGATTGCTGTTCAACATCCTGTCCCACCAGAGAGTGGATGGAAAATTATTGATTTCCTTTCAGAGGAGGCAGATTCACAGATGCACTTATTGTGGGCTTGTCCCTCCTCGGAGGCAAAGGGGATGCAAAGATAAACCCCCTCCTATCCCATTTTCAAGCCTCCAGCCATGGAACAGGAAGATAACACTGAAAAAAGGCTGCATAACATGCAAGATCTTGTAACACAGTACAGACCCCTGTCTTCTGTGCTGGCCAGCAAATATTAAATGAGGTCCTGTCTCCACCAAGCTGGACTACCTTCATCCTGGCAGCCCTTAGGTGCCATCTCTTGCTTCTACAGAATACTCCAGGGATGTTTCCAAGCCAAGGTGCCCTTTCAGAATGAGCTTCAAGGCTGGGAAGAAGCTACTTGGGATCACATGTAGAGGAAAAAGAAAACATAACTAAGGAGGCACGAGGTGTTCAGCCTGGGGACAGCAGTAATTGGCTCAGATTGGTCTGGCTCATGAATGCACTGGTGCTGTTGGAAGTGGGACATATGGGTGTCACCAGCACTGAGGTGCCACCATGGTCTGCATATGGGAGATGTGGCTGCCCTATTGAGAGAGGTTATTAATCTTTCCCATGACCTTGCCCTGAGTGGCAGAGCAGCAAAACACTTGTTCTGCAGTGCTCAGAGGGGAAGTCCAAAGAAATGGCTTCTCGCAGGACAAGACACACACCCCCACTCGAAGGACAGAGACTTCTCTCCAGAGTCTCACAGCCACCTGGGAATTTGGGACCCTTGAGTTTGAAAGCCCTCCCCCCCCCATGGCACACACCTGGAGGAGCACTTCACCTTCTCTGGCTGAAGCAATTTGTCTTAACTAAAGCATTTCAATTAAAAGTCAAGACTGAATCACTGCAAAGTGCTGGTGACAGGAGTCATTAAACCGGAATACAAGTTTTAAATAATTATTAATATGCTCTGCAAGACATCCATAAAAGGCCCTTAATCAATATGCAGTTCAATTCCGTGCATTAGGGTTTTAGGAATTTAAATTCACAGCAGTGGAAGGGTTGAGAAATCGTCATGAATTTCCGTCAGAGCTCTTGCACAACCAAACCTGGGAGATCATCATCAGGATCCAAGCTGTTGGGAGGGGGTGACCAAATGCATCAGACTATTTTGGTGGCCTGTGCCAGAATGAATTGGTGGCTCTTCTCCCTGGAAAATGGGTGCTGGGGCACATCATTGACATGGGGGCAAGTTTTTGAATCCCTGTCAGTGACAGCAGCAGGGATTTTGCTTGGCCATCTCAGTCAGTGTCAAATATTCACAGGCACTACTGGCAATTTAAGCATTACCTGACCATCCCCTGGGGAGAGAGCAGAGAGGATGAGAATGGGCTGAGCTGTAGACATGAGCTCTCAGGGCTGCAGGTGCTCGTGGCTCGGGAGCCCAGATCTTCCCGTACAGCATTCACACGCCCTCACAGCACACAAAATAGATTTGATAACTCCCTGCATGGGTACAGAGTTAGTTTTGTGGCTGGTGCACAGCAAAGCAAGATGATACTCCTGCCTCCTGCTGCCAGCAGCGAGGAGACCCATCATCTCACAGCAGGAGCATGGAGAGGCACGAGCATTCCCAAGGTGAGAAGGGATGAGGGGAACCACCTCAGAAAGTGCTGTGGGAATGTGGGGGCCTGGATGTTTTGAAGCTAATCGTGTGCTTCAGCATTTGGCTGGATCAGGGCCAGAGGTGCAGAAAAGAAATTTCCAGTAAGGAGAAACCTCTAGGAAGAACCAAACCCTAGAGGAAGCTCAGGGTGAGGTTTTGTGCTTCCTATTTCAGTCTAAAAAAAGACCTGTCCCAGGAGGGGGTGAGTTTCAGTAACATCCAGATAGCCCAATACTTTGTATCCAGAATAGGGGTGATGACAGTAAAGCAAGTGGAAGCTCCACGAGCAGATGGACCCTCAGAACACCCTTCCCTGCAGGTGGCATCCAGGGGCAGAGCAGCATCACACTTGGAATGGTTCAAAGGAGGAGGGATACGCCAAAAGGAGCAGAGATGGTTGTTGCAGCTAACTTTACCCCCAGAGATGAAAACAGGAGCTGGGAATGCATCCCATGGTTATATGCATGCTCTGTGCCATGAGTCTGGATGAGGGCCAGGTATTTGTCCCCTCATTTTTCCCTGGGGCAAACCAGGAGCTGGGGGCTGTGCACTAGGAGCAGGCTGGATGCAGCCACACTGTTTTGAAGGCTAAAAAAAATACAGTCCTATAGAGGAAAGCCAGGTTAAGCTATTTATTAGCCTGCCTCAGGCCCTGCTTAGTTTACTGCCAGTCTAAATATCCCCCAGTGCTGGGAAATCAGCTCGGACCGTGTGTGCACATTGCTGCAGCTCAGCTTGTGTTTTGGGGGGGTGCATCTGCCTGATTTTGTGACGCCGAAGGTTGAAACGAGCTAGGGAAAAGCAGGTACTTTGGAGAGGGAGAGAAAAAAAAAAAAAAGGAAAGAAAACCGGAAAGAAACCAGAAGCAGGAGCGAGAGGGAAGGAAAAGGGGAGATTTTGTCTCGGGGAGGCGTCGGAGCCTCCGAGGACCGTCCCCGCCGTCGCCCCGCATTGCGAAAGAACCTTTAGCTTGGGCTCGGGTGCCCCTCGGTTTTGCAAGGTATCCCGGCACGGAAAGCCTGTCCCAGGCCGCTCCTCCCAAAGCGCAGCGGGGATGCTGTGGAGCCGGGAGGCCCC